CAAGAAAACATGTATTCTCTTCTCCTGGAAGCTCTGGGAATTTCCAGGAGCTTATTACTGCTTGCATCGAATGGACTCTAGCTGCCATGTACATTCATTTTTCTTTCTAGAGTCAGATATAGACTTTAGATTTTCATGATGGACCACAAGAACAACAACAAAAAAGGGTGATTGGGGAATACTAGTAAAGCCAACATAGCAGAAACTATGTATTTCTTAGTTCCTAGACTCTCATAGAAGGGGCTGGTAATGTCTGTAAATGCATTAAAATATGCAACTGAATGATCCAAAGAAATATCTTCAAATCACTTTAGCAACTAGGTCACGCTCCTTCTGCATTTAGGTGAGGGCCAAAGCCAGATTGGCTAGACCTTAATATGACCTTACACAGGTGAAACACCCCAAAGCATACTATCTTGCTTATGAACTCCCTGAAAAGTTATTCTAGGCCCCTAGAGCCCCTGGAACAACAGACTTCTAGTTCAACCTACATATGAATGTAACTCCCACTATAACATGACAAGTGGTTATCCAGCCTTTGCTTGAAGACCTCAAAGGAAAGAGAAATTTACTACCTCTGGAGGCTATATCTTTCATTTCCTCCCTTCCACGTGAGAGTCCTTCAAATACTTGAAGACAGTTCTCCTGAGCCTGATGAGTTCACGGTGCACCCCAAGAATGTTGGAGTACCACCTGAAATGATGAGGAATAGACTTTGGGTCCTATTGCCCTGAAAGAATTCATTCGGATAGTCTCCAAGTTAAAGAAAGGCATTTATTAAGGGGATGCTCCCAAGCGTGCCTGCTTCCATGTGGGACAGACAGAGTATAGGCAGTAGGCCCTGCTCCCCTAAGACAGCAGAGCAGCCCCTGCTTCCGTAGGAGGCAAAGGTGGTTAGCCAGGTTAAAGATATGGTTCAAATACAAGTTTACGGAAATGGAGGGAAAGGGGAAAGGAGAATGGGAGGAGCAAGAAGGGCTCCAAAATGCTGGGGTATCAGGTAGTCCAGAGGTGCCTTTAAGCAAAGAGAATAGGAAAGGGGAGGGGGAGAGTTGTTTTGGAATTGGGTGTTTTGTGAAAGCACACAGGTAAGTTCACGGTGAGGGGCTTCAATGCATAGTCTTCTTTGACTGCTTTTCTGGCTGGTCGCACCCTACATCTTATCTTATACCTCACATCTTGCATCCTGTTTACTCTACCTCAAGTACTCTTTTCTACCACATCAACCCCACTTACTCCTATATTTTCCAGGCTAAGCATTTCCAGGTCCTTCAACCAATTCTCACAGGAAATGACTCAATTCCTATCACCATACTGGTTGCTCTCCACTGGATTTTTCTTTCTAGCTTATTGATGTCCTTAAACTGTGGCACCAAGAATTTCATGCAATGCTCCAGATGAGGTCTGATGAAGGCAGAATACAATGGGACTATCACCTGTCATTCCTGAAAGCTATACCTCTAGATACAGCCCAAATTACCTCAGCTTTTTTTTTTACAGCTACATCACACTGCTGAATCATAACGAGTTTTCAGTCCACTAAAATTCCCAGATTGTTTTTGAAACAACTACCACCAAATTATATCTCCCCCTTGTTGTATCTGTGAAGGTATTCATTTATTTATTTTGTACATCTATTACTTTTGAAGTCCTTTTTAATTGGATTCAATACTATGCTATACAGCCACATGACTATATATAACTATAACTCTCTCTCTCTCTCTTTCTCTCTCTCTCTCTCTCTCTCTCTCTCTCTCTCTCTCTCTCTCTCTCTCTCTCTCTCTCTCTCTCTCCATCTGTCATCCCATACATTATAGGTATTTCTCTTAGCTGTCAGTAACTGCAAATTTGATGACCATGTCTATCAATCAATAAACATCTATTAAGTGCCTACTAAGTGCCAAGTACTGTGCTAAGTACTCAGGATACAAAAAGGGGCAAAAGACAGTCCTTGTCCTCAAGGATTTCACTATTCATGTCATCTATCCCTTTATTCAAGTAAATGATAAAAAAAATGTCTAACAGCACAGGACAAGCAGAGATCCTTGGGGTATTCCAGTCATGTCAACAGTCCAACAGTCAACCAGTTACTTAGAGAATCTTTTAAGTTTGTCTCTGATCTCACTTTTTCCTGCTGATGGCATAAATTTCCCTGTTCTAAGCCTCTGATTTATGGTTTAAAACTTCATGTCAGCTCTAATAAATCTGTAATTGTCAATCTGAATTTCACTTAATCCATTTCAAAAGGTTGCATTTCAAAAAACCTAGGGGGCTATGTCAATCTAGGAAACTGGTTTCCCTCTGCTCCCCAAACCTTGTGAGTCTTGCTGGCAAATGTATCTAAGAAAGCACAACAGATGAGTTTAAGAGAATGGACTTCTAATCTCCAGCCTTTTATATGTATATGAAAGCCCACAATAAAACTAGAAGCCCTAAGCATTAGGCTGTGTTTATCTGCCCCACATTCTCCTCCAGCCATTAGAATATAGGGAATTTGAACATGGAGATTACCACCTGTACTACATTGTGGGCTCCCAAGCATCTACACTTTATTAAACACTGCATCTGACCATTATTCTGAATTAGTTATGTTCTTGAAGACTGTCATGTTTGACATTTCTTACATTCAATAGGAGATAGTTTCATCTAATGTACAGTTGTACCACCCTGAAAAATACAGACTAACATGCCTTTGCATTCAAAATAACATTTTTTAAAACCTTTTCTATTGAACCTTCCCCCTTTTTTATCAAAGGCAGTAGGGAAGGGACCTAAACATATAGAAGGCCAGTGAATATTGAGAGGGCAGAGAAATAGGATTAGTCTATCAACAAAAAATAATCAAATTTGATTGATTGGCTTTGTACAATCCTGGCATATGGTATGTTCATGGATTGATTTAATGGCATCATGCTCCAGAGGCACTTATTTCCTAGCAAATGAGTTGCATAACTTCAGAGGTCGGTCCAGTACCTACTTCTCTCCAATAAGTAAAATGCCGCCATTGATCATCCTTTCCTCATCTTGCCTCCCTCTCCTTAGGCAGCTTTACCTGTGTGAACTGGAAACAGGAAGCAGACATAGACACAATGATTCATGCTACTCAAAGACATGCACAAGCATGAGCACTCACACACACTGCCATATTAAGACTGATGTAGTTATATCAGGATCAGACATTTATGAATGCATGGACATGCACACATGCATATTACACAGTACATATGCATATATGTGCATGTATCTGCACTGGCACACAGACAAATAATACAGGATGATTGGGGTTGAAATGACTAAAAATCTGTTCTCTTTCCTGCAGTGGCAGCAGCAGCTTAGGGGACAGTAGAAAAAGGTACTGCTCCCAAGTGTCCAAAACCCACCCATGCAAGGTAGTGGGGAAAGATGGTCTCCTTTCTCTTCTATTGCTTTCTTCCCTGTTGGGGCAACCTATCCTTCAGCTTTGTACAGCCTCAGAGTTTTGACCCTATCTCCTCTGCTTTTGCTGGGACTTGATGAGAGGGCTCATTGATGCTGAGCAAGGCAGTCTTTATTACCCCCACCTTTTTGCAAAACACACAAAACAGTTCTTGCATGTTTATTTTCTTATTTTGGAAGGACTCAGGGGATGTGGTATATAAGAGAGATTGAAGAAGAAATTTTTTTTAAAAAAGCAGCAGCCTGTTACCTCTACAAATTGCCTGATGACCTGCCATCATGGGGATTTGCTCAATTTGCTTTGTGGAAGTAGTCCAATCCTCCTCAGTGCAATCAACCATACACCCTAAGTACACAGCAAACAATTTTATTAGCAGAGCAGTTCAGTAGAGATGCAGCTCTTCTTTGCCAATAACTATCTCTGGAGTGCCCATAACCCATAAGGGCAAATAAGACCTGTCTGTTACTTGTTCCAGGTGATAGTTGCTGAAAGACCTCTTTCTCCTCTATTAATTTGATTCTCAAGGTTCTTGGAAGGCCCAGCTCAGCTATCACCAGCTTCTTGGAACAATCATTCCCAGATAAATCTTCTCTACTTTGATCTCAGCTTTATCTCATTGTTTCTAGCACTCAGCTCTTGGGCATCCCACCATTTAGTTCTTCATCACAGATTATAATGTTCTCTAGTTGCTTCTTGTATCTAGTATAAGATGGTAAGCTAGTGAAGGGCAGTCTGTTTACTTATTGTCCACATTCCCCCGGTCACTGGTGTCTCCTATTTGCTCATTGTTACCCACAATACCATAAAGTCAAATGTTCATTGCTGACACATGGCCCTGACAGCACAGTTGGTTCTTCTTGGCCCTTTTTCTCCTTGGATAGACCTGGCCCTTCTCCTGGGAATTCTAGCGATCTTTGTTTCCAATTGCTCACTTACTCCACCTATGAATCTAGGGTAACTTGTCTTCCCGGTCTACGTGTAGGAAGTTTGATTTTCAATCAGTAAAGTTTTACAATATTGTTCTCCTTTTACTAGGATGGATGGATTTCTACGCAGATACCAGAATTCTGGCCTTTTGCCCATTTCCCCTGAGGCCACTGTAAACATTGACTTTGGGGTGGATGGGTTAAAGGTTAAATGTCCATGCATTGAAATCACTTAATTTAGAGGACTGGAAAGGAGAGCTCTCACCTCCTTCCCTCCATCTACCTTCAGTTAGTAACGGCGGCTACCCTTATGTCCCTAAGAGTCTTGGGGGTTAGGGGCGATTGGTAGGCAGGAAAACACTGGAGGGGTTCCGGAGGCTACTGTTGTCGCTTGTACTGGGGTTGGGGGCGGCTGCATAGAGTAAGGGGCGGGGCCGGCTTTCCAGTGAGCGACCAATCCCAGCAGGCAGAAGGCTCCGGGGACTCCCAGCTCGGCAGACCTGGGCTACAGAGGCTGCCCTAGTGCGGGGTGGGGGGGAAGAGGTAGCCCCTGATTCAGCGGGGGTGGGGCGGGAGGGACCCGAGCGGTGTGCAGGGCTACTCCGGACCGGGGAGGGTGTGAGCGCACCCTTATTCAGCGCCCAGCAGGTTTCGGGGCCCGGGATGGGGACACAGTGGGCGAGGGGGAAAGGGCACTGACGGAGTGCAGGAAAGGAGGGTGAGCCCGGCGCAGGTGTGGAGGGGGAGGAAGAGGAGAAGTGTGGGCAAGAGCAATTTGGTCCCAGGGATGGCGTGCCTTGACAGCCAGAGCATTTGCGGGTGAGCCTGGCCGCTCGGCGGCTGGGGCATGCCTGACTCTGCTTCTGCTGCCTTGAAGGGGGAGGGGACATTTGCAGCTGTGAGCAGATCGAGGGAAATTAATTTATTCTCTTTTGCAGGCAAGAGACCTGCAAAGTCAGGCAAGATTTTCCATCCTTTCCCCCACCCCACACCCTCCACACCCCTCTTCCTCTGGAGGAACCTCATCTCTTCATCTTGGGCCCTTTCTGAGAGCTGTAGTTGCTGCTTTTTCTCTGTGGGCTGGAGTGCAGATATCCATATATACACGCCCCCTGTTCTCATCCCCTTATCCTGTTGGCTTTAGATGATGTCTGGTAAGTAGGTGTATTTTCTTCCCTTTTCAGCCCTGGGGGTGGTAAACATGCCATTTATTTTGAGACTTATTCAGTGGTAAATGTGCAGTTCTTGAAATTGCTTCTGCCGTGGGTATATGTTTCATGTTAACTTTTCCTCCCTGACTGCCCTTGTTGGAAAGCAATGCAAGGAAAACCATTTTCAGTTATTTACTGCAACCAGGATGCTTTGTCATAAATAGCCTAGACACGTTAGAAATTCTACCATCTGTTTAGGGGGATGATAGGAATTGGACTTCTCCTATTTTTGGCTTCCTGTAGTAACAAGAATTTATCTTCCCATGTGTTGGCTCTTTGTAGCGTATTTGTAGAATACCACGAAGCATGGCACAGTGGAAAATCTCTGACTTGGAGCCAGAAGATTTTGTACTCCCCTCCCCCCTCAACTTTATACATGTAGGTCTCCAGGCAAGCTCTATGATCTTCAGTTTCTTCATGTGTAATAACTATGAGGATAATGTTGCCTGTTTACCTAGCTTCCAGCATTGGAAGGATTAAAAGAGACTATATATATATGTGTGTGTGTGTGTATGTATGTATGTACGTATATATGTACATACACACATGTACACACATATATACATCCACATATGTATATGTGTATATACATTATACACATCCCTATATAGCATATAATAAATAATAAATACTATATACACACACATATATATTTTTATAAACCATAAAGTGATAAAGCATCACTTTTTATTAGTAATAATTTCTTAGAATTCATTTTTTCTTTCAGCAAAACCATTTCAAAATTATAACAGAATTTTTATATCCTTAATGAATGTGCATGTGCTTCAGAAGTATTTTAAAAGCCGTGTAGTTTTTGATCACTGAATGAGTAGTGCTCTCACACAAATATATATGTATTTGTGTATCTGTGTATGTGTGTGTGTTGTGTGTGTGTGTGTATATATACACACACACACACATATTGAGATGGTCAATGAGGTTATCTAAATAAGATTTTTCAAAATTTAGGGAACATTAAGTAGATTTATTTAAACAGCTCTCTTTTGACTGTAAAAAAAATTACTCCTGAGTAGTCAGTTTGGACATTTTCTGACTGCTAAATCCAACTTGGGTCACAGCTAATCACCAGGAAGTGAGTTAACTCATTTCTTCACCTTTAAACATAATGGGCATATAAAAATGAAGAGTTGACTTTAGCAACCCAAAATGGTGACATTTAGACTCACTGGTATAAGAAAAAAGATACCTCACAGCTGTGTGACCATGAGTATAGTGCTTATCTTCTCTTCACCTCAGTTCACTAATCTGTAAGGTAAATAGGTTGGATTAGGTGATGATACTTATTTCAGTGGATCCATGATCTCATTATTGTAGATTCTATGGGTTTAGACTGTCATTCATCTATGTTTTCATCTTTAGTGATTCTTGTCCTTGTTCTTCTGCAGAATCTCTACCTAACATGCTAGTGGCTTTCTTCTATATTTTGTGCATTCCAGTGGATATTCTCATCTGTTATTGTTTGCTCAACCGTCATTCCTGGTCTACCTCCTTTTCCCATCAAGGGTTTCTTTTTTGAATTTTATTAATGGATATCTATTCATATCATTCTATTATTCCTCTTGTCAAATACAGATTTTCATTAGAATTTTGTTCTTCCTAATTTGGGACCACAATGCATCTCTTTGCCCATTGGATCTCACATAGTTGACTAAATGATATCGAAATAAGTCTTTCTGAGTCCAATTCATGATTTATCAGTATTGTTAGTACCAAAGGGGGTCATCTCCCGTTGTCCAGGTGGAGAGACATATGTGCAAAGGAATGTGATGTGAAAACAAAAGGTACCAATAAAAACAAAACAATGCACCTCATGGTATCTACAAGTGGGAGAATTTTAGAGATTTTGCCATCTGTAGGTTAATCCAGTTTCACTCTGTGTAAGACATTATCTGTGATAGTAGTGAACCCTTCTGGCCTGTATATTTCTTCCTAATTTATTCTTTGCTTGTTTTTAATAATCAGAGGTTCCTTTAAAAATCTGTCACTGGGATTTCATTTATCAAAGAGTTTCATATTGATCCTTAAGATTTGTATGAAAGACTCCTTTTTGTAGGAGACCTTGTGCCTTGAATTGTGCCTTAAATCAAATGCTATTTTTTTTTCAGGCAACAAGCAATAAACTCTGCATAAACTTTTGTTTTGTGCACCTTTTGGTCATTATATGGTTGTAAAGTTGTGATATACTACAGAGAATTATTAAGAGAGCTCGCTAATTATTTCTCACAATTTTATCCAAGGTATCCTCTCTGTACATGCAGATTATTCTCATAAATATTATGTAAAGATGACAAAGTAGGCACTGGTATTATTTATTTGCTCTTTTGTTATAAATTTTCCTTTCTTTTTGTTATCTTCTCCTCAGGATATTTTGTGAAGTGATCTTGCAATGCTTTCAAGACTATGTTAATTTCATTAGTATATACTTTATCTGGTCCAGGTTCTTTCCCCAATTTCTTCTTCTTAAATTCGTTTCTGCTTATTTTTATTACAGATTAAAGAGTAAACCATCAATCCCCAACTGAGGTAGTTTCTTTGTTACTAATGGTAGAGATTTTTATGGCAGTGTTGACACATTAATTCCAAGTTCCGTTTATTATTCTCTTGTAAGTTTTATCCATCAGTGATCTTAGCATGATGTGACTACTTTGAGTCTCATGTGAAACTTTTGTAGAATTGTTTTTGATATTTATGCATTTCATTTTTAAAAAGACAATTCTACTTTGAATCAATTGTTTTGGAAAAAAAGATACTACTTCCATTTCTATCACATTCTTAATTTTTTTGGATCAAAGTATTCATTTTATACATAGACATAGATATATGTATGCATATATGTATACATGTATATGTGTGTATATGTGTGTATGTCTGTATGAATAGATAGATAAATAGATAGATGATAGTTTCTGAGTAATTAGAAATATGCACAGGCTTAAGGAATTAATGACTCTTGAGATTTTAATTTCTAAAGGCCGTCATGATTGCACCATATATCATATACGAGTACAGAAAATATATAGCTATATATACAAGACCATATATACACTGTGTGTATATATATGCATTAATGTATGCATATTATCATCCCTTGCACCAGAGTGATTAAATATCAAAATACATATTGACTTGAATTGAAAGAATCTACCTTTTTATCCTCTGCAGCACATATTGGTGCAAAAATTGCAGTTATCATCATGTAATCTTTTTTTTTAATGCTCATCATGAGTAATGCATGACAAGATGGCAGAGTTCCATCAAATGATGCATCTTGTTGCCTTATGCACATGATGAAAGTCATTCCAGTAACTCTTTGCCTCTCCAAGGGAAGACCAGTGAGTCATCCTTTAATTTAGCTGTACTTTCCTTTTGTCTTATGGTTTTTTAATTACATGTATATTAATATTGATATGGTTCATTTCTATTAATTTAACAATTAGTTGGCCATTGAACAAAGATCTCATGTTTATAATACCCACTTATTATGTATAGATGGTCTAAAAACCTTTTGATTCTTAGCACACAGAGTGCTTCCTTTTCTGCTATTTCTTCATTGTCTCTTCTGAAGAAAAAGATACACAGGACTGAGGGCCAGTTAATGTTTTTCCTTGTATCATGAGTTGTTGCCAGTGCCAAACTTTAATTGTTGCCACAATTTATCATAGTAGCTAATTTACGGATGATATGCCTGTCATTCTTAGCTATGCTGTCCTCAGAAAGGCTGTCCTCACTTTGTTACTGGGACTATAAGACACTTTGGTGCAGTACTCTCCAGAGCTTGTGCTCTATTGACAGAGTCTTTTGAGAACCCAGGGTCACCTCCCCAGCACAATGAGGTATCATAATAAAATTATGTGGAGGGATAACAATAACTGCTGATGTTTATATGGTGCTTTAAGATTTAGACACCCTTTATGCACATTTTCTAATTAGATCTTCATGACAACCTTGTGAGCTATGTAGCTCTGTCTAAGGCAACTTCATTCCATCATATTCTATTATTTTATTTTAAAGGTCTACTTGTTTGACATATTAGTAGAAATGAATAACTGATCACCTGTTGGGATATTATTTTAGTAGGTTGTTTTTAGAAACCAGAAAATTATGGCTAATTATTGTGCTGTTTATCCTTTCATCCCTCCTGTCTGAGAAAGGAGAATGCTCAATATATTTTCTAGGTTGCAAACAGAATACTGCCTTTAAGAGGGCATATACCACCAAATTCCCTCCTGTAGGGCAGCAGAAAAATGTCTGTGTAGTTTGCTTGTTTGGATTTCTCTAATTTGAAAACCATTTAAAATTGATTTTAATCAACATTGAAATTAGCAATTCAGACTTTATGTAAGCACCAACTATTTACCAAAACAAAACAAAACAAAAAACAAAAACAAACCCAGAAACCCCCAAAGGCCCCTTCAATGAATAAAAGTAACAGAAGCTACTTCTCTGGTAGATCTGAATTATTTTTGGAGGATAAGGTAGTTATAGACAGGTACTGTTCTTACTGACTTACCATTTAATGTTTAATCCTGTACTTGGTCAAATTTAATTGCATGAAAACATGCTTGTTTTTTTAAGACATGCTGTTACCTTGCATAGAGCATAGCTTCATTCTCTTCTACTTCTTCACCCTTCTATGTCAATCTATATTATTTTGGTCTTCATGACAAAATCACCTTTGACCTCAGCACTTTATCCCTTGGAATCTCTCCTTTACAAGAGGGAGGTGATGAACTTGAGAAATTCAACCTCCAAATGTCATCTTTCATTTACTAGAGGAAGACTTGGGTCCGGGGAGGCTATAGTGCAGTAATTTGAAAAATGTCTTAGGAATGTGTAATTCAATTCATGTAATTAAATTCAATAAACATGTATCAAACCCCTGAATGAGGCACTGTGTTAGGTGCTAGGGATACAGTGATGAA